CTCATTACTCCCCCCCCCCCCCTCGTCGTCGGTGCCGTTGTGTTTGGAGCACCCAGCCTCCATCTCTGCTCGAGCAGATACACGATGCGAACAGAATCTCTGTGAACACTTCACACGTAATCCTGCTGGGATGCGCACCAAAGGACAACTGCCATCTGTTCGCGTCTGCTCGGTCAGTTGTTTCATCCACCAGTGCGCTGAAGAGGCTACCCCCCCCCCCCCCCCCCCGTTCGTCTGATGTATTTTGTGATTCAAGAGTCAGTGCGGTCAAGCAGCTCGCTTTGAGCAGTAAGCGAGTGCTAGGAATTTGTTCGCCAGCACCGGACGGTGTCAGCAGTGTAATACAAATAATCATGACATTCGCAGTTGGATTTTTTACGAGCTATTACACGCGTCGAACAGACAGCGTAGGCAACTTAATATGGGTACCTGTGGTATGCAAGCATATCCGATCAGAGCCTGTTCAAAAGAATATGGACTTAAAATCGCATTAACCACCGTGATTTGGGCCCTGTTTGTGACGCGGTGATCTAGCGTTGTCTGGGGCCTCTTCGCGGTGTTGTGTACCGCCACCTCCGGCGACTGTCGCTTCACGACGAGCCCGGGCGCACAGGAGCCACCTGAGGCGCTCTTGTTCGTCAGCTTAACACGGCTGACGCAGCCATCGGGCCCACTCGCCTTGTGTTGCCACGCGGGCGACCTTGCCTCCTCCCTCCCCCCTCCCACGATCGCTTTTCATGAGAGGGCTTTGAGACGGAGTGGTACTGTGGCACTTCAATTCAGTTGCATGGTGTCAATTCATCATTCATTAATGTGTAATGCCTTCGCGTGGAGCGGGTATCCTATCATTCTACAGGATGCACCGCCAGCTCCTGGGGTGCCAATATCTACACATGGTAGAAGTGACTAGTGAAGCTCTAAAAATTGCTATAATTTATTTGTTTCTCTTTTCGCATTCTAAGGTGCAACGATTGCACGGAAAGATGGCCCCGCTTGACCCGGGCTGGCAAGTAGCCTGTTACTTTCTATCATTGCGCTGTCCCTGAGATGCCATTTTAGCCCCAGGGCACCTGATACTACCGTTTCGGGGCGGAATCTCACACACTGGACTACCGGAATGCGAGACTGGGTGTGACATGCGTGAGCGAATTGTTGTTATGAGCGTGGCTTGCGACGGTGCTTAAGTGCAGGTAGCACACAGACGGGAATATCCCCCCCCCCCCCCCCACGTATTTCATTTCCTTTGCCGCGCTAGGCGCTACAGGTTCCCTTATACCGCGTGGGCGCCTATGAAATGGCAATGTTTTGTATTGATGCTTGTGTGTCTTGTGTCTTGCATGTCGTGAGACTTGAATGTCCTGAAGGTGATGCGTGTGTATGCTTTAAACACCATGGGCGTCGATTCAAAATAACCTCTTTATCGCCCTAGTGAGTTATGCAGGCCTTAGGGGCGTCCTTTCAGCGCCCCGGGGAACCGCTGCAGAATTGAGAGCACCATTTTATTTTTAGAGCGTTCTAGTCCAATGGACCATTTTCAGACATGGGGGTGACTCATCCGGATTTTGCGCATCTGTTTCAGACTTGGGAATATCTTTTGACCGCAGAAGCATCTTTTCAGCCCTCGGGACCGCCCCAAACTACTTTTGTCATTCTGTTTGGACGTCCGGCTGTTCTTTGGACCGTCAGGATATGTTTTCAAACATCAGGGAAGCTGTTGAAGTCCTGAGGGTAACCCTCCTGAGATCTGGACGCCCTTGTGTTTTTAAATATGTTACTTCACCCTCGAGGCATGTTTTCAGATGTCCGGGGCGCCCCATTGGTCATATAAGGCGCCTCTCCAGGCTGTGGGGCACTCAGACTCTTTAACGCATTCTTTTAAACCTCGATACATTTTCTAACCGCAAGGACGTCTTTTGGATCCTCCGAGATGCCCTTTTTAAAGAATAAATAAGAAGGCATCTTCAAGACTTTGGGACATAATTTTAAATCACCAGGACCGCCCTTTCAGGCCTCTGGGAACCATAAGGGTATGACACGCTATTTTGCGGTTTTAGAATGACTTAAACCTGTTCTTGAGACATATCTCGAACGTTAGCGGCGCCCTTCGAGCCCTCAGGGCGCCTCTCCAGGATTTGAGGCGCCTTGTTGTTCTCAAGGGTGTTCTTCTCTCTCTGGAGACGCATCTTCTTCACTTCAAAGACGGCCTTTGAGCCATCGAGGAAGGTTCCCCAGTGCTTGGGGCACCATTTTATTCTCGAGGTCTTTCTTCTTGCCCTCCGGACATAGGCTACGGAGGAGCCCGGATATGTTTTCAGAGGGCACCCTTCCAGTACTGAAGCGTTCGATGCCCTTTTTTCTTCAAGAGACCTTTCTAGACTCAGGGACACATTTTCCGAACACAAGGGCACCCTTGCACCATTCCGGGTAGCGCCTGTGCCCCTTTAGGAGCGTCACGATAGAAAGGCGCCTTCGGCACTCTAGAGCGGCCACTGGAGGGGCACCGTTACTTTTCGATCGGGGAGGGGGGGGGGGGGAGCGTGTGACCCCAATGCCCGTGTCTGGATCCGTCCCTGTCATATGTGATCATTATCACTGTCACATCGGCATCAAATGAAGTGCCAATCATCACTATCGAAATAATTCTTATTCCGATCATTTTTCAATTATTTTTAACATTGGGGCGCAACGCAAATCAAGCTGGCCGAAATCCAAAGATAAATTAGCATGTCGGACCTGGGGGTAAGCTAGGTCAACGTTATTGGCTCAGCCATCCCAACCGATTTTATAAAGTGTCAACCCTGTCCAGGTCCAGGGGCCAGAGCCTTGACAAGGGCGGACACAGGATTGACCAAGCCCCCCCCCAAAAAAAAATCGCCCGACGTGGCCCATCTATTATTGAGAGCATGTTTTCACAAATATACATATATATATATATATATATATATATATATATATATATATATATATACTATAAATACATCAACATTGCACATCTTTACGTTCTTTAACTGGAATATAGGCCAGTCGCCACCTCGAGATTAACTCCTCATTATGTTTACAGTAAATAAACTAAAAAAATGTGCGTTAAATGACTGCATGAAATGACGCACCCGTGCGTTTTATTCAAAAATGGTCAAGTAAACCCTTTTATACGGATAGAACTCAAAAATTTTGTCAGAAGATGTATTTGGGTTGTACAGAGGTAGGAATGATTCCTCGAATGTATATTAAAGAACAAAATGGATCAACAATTTGGATTTACATGGCCAAGCCGTGTTTGCCTGGATATGTTTAACATTTAGTCAGAATTGATGAGTGGTACAAATTATGTAAGATAGTTTTGAGCATGCGCTTTCGCATATCCTAGTAACAAAAAACTTGATTCCATGCGTTGCAGTCACCCTAGGCCACGCAGCATCGTCCCGCGGTTAACGTTAGGTCGTGGCCAATAACTGGAGGAAAGTGGTGACGTATCGGAAAGAAGTGCCTTTCAACACTTTTGGACACCGAATCGTATATTTAGATATATTCCGGGTGTATATATTAACTGTGCGATTTTTAGATTGATGACAATAACGTATTGGTTATTACAGTACCGCGAAGTGGTGCGGGAATCTGGTGGTGGAAATAGAAGACTAGGGTAAAATCTCTATTTGAACTGTCGCTGTAAGCTGTTAATCTGTCCAAAGTACGGCCTCAAAGGTTCAAAAAAGACTCGTCCAATGTGATCTTTAAACTACTCGAATAAATTTGAAAGATGTTCAGGAACATTTTTATGATAACCATTTTGCTCAGACGGACATGGGGGGCCCATCAAGGTCTCAGACGGACATGGAGCCAACTGTTCGGTGTTCGTGATCTCTCACCGACTTAGACACCCGCATTGTCTCAGGGGTTCCTCAAACAGCGCAAGAGGACCTCCGGCTGATATTTCAGCTGCATGACACTGCGAGCTGCGATTCTTCATGTGACCCACAGCCAGTCCTTCGGGCCCTTATGCCCTCCAACCGGGCCATTGATCGTCGGTTCCGGTGAGCCAGCTGGGCCCCTCTTCGGGTCTTATCAAACATTTGCCTTGGTCGGTTCCGGGCCCCTGTTAGCATAGGGCCTCTATCAGGCGCCGTGGACCCCTATCAGATACAAGGCCCCAGGCCAATGCAAATCGCTGGCCCCGGTTTTAAAGCTGATTTGGAAGTGGGTACTTGGTTCCATACCGACACGGGGTCGACTATGTGGTGCGGTGGTACCTGACCCAAACATAGGCCCATACCGACTCAGGGGGTCCCCGATCGGCGCAAAGGGCGCTCTGACGGTTATTTGAGGGTCCGTCTTCGCAGGTTCTGGCCCTTCAATAAAACTCCGACCAGCCCTTTATGCCCCTAGACCCTCCAATCGAACCCTTGATCGCCGGACTGGATGGGCCCTCTAGGCTCTTCGGGCCGCCTAGAACACTGCCTCTGGCCGGCTCGGGGCCCGTTTTCACCGGGCCCCTATTATGCGCTGGAGGACCGGAGGAATGTAAATTGCTGGCTCCGACTTCGTCCTTGCTTGATATATGGGCCCTTAGGTCCATGCCGTCACGGAGTCGACTGTGCGTTACTGGTAGTGCCTGACCGAAATATAGCCCCTTATCGATTCAGTGGGCCCCTAATCAGCGCACAGGGCCCTCTAGCTGGCATTGCAGTGCCCGACCCTGCTGGCCGGGGCTGCTGACTGCGACCTCTGGCTGGCTTTTCGAGCCCTTAATCATAGGTTTCAAGGGGCCCTTCGGGCCTTCCGGAACCTAAAGGGGGCGTGGGCCCCCTATGCTACCCCACCCTGCCTGTGCTACTGCCCCTGGCTCGTGAGTTTTTGAGGTTGGAGACGGCTGCAGCCGCAACAGATAAAAATAGTGCTTAATAAGTTATTTCGAATTTGGTAGCAAGGTGCGGGAGGGAAGGTGGCGCAGACGTTTCGATAATGACCTTCACACGTTTCAAGAATTGTGGGTACCGGTTGAAGGTGTTGCTGGCACATGTTTGATGTATTTACATGTAGTTGTATGCTAGGTATTGGTATGCTATTCTTATTGAGCTGCATACAGTGCTCAGTAAATTTTCCTGCAATGCCCAGGTGTCATGTTTTGTGTCATCTGAATCTGTAAATGAGGAACCGCCTTAAAAGCTTGGTAGGTTGAGACTTGGTACCCAAGGTATGACTGATTCGGTTTCGATGGGGAATGCAGCCTGAAATTTTGTTGACTCAGTGAATGCTGTTCTCAAGGTCAGCACTGGGACTACATTCCACCTTCACTACTTTATATATTTGTACATAAGTGAACACACAAAGCAACCTAATTGAAACATGCCATAATGTGCTATACCCTTTACAAATATATTGCAATTGATGCCCTGACATGTCAGAACAGTGTTTTCAGCATGCAACCTTCTGTTCTAAACTTATCTGAACTAAGCTTACCTGATGTATTCAAATCTAACCATGTATGTATGACGGCACATGTATGTATGTATGTATGACCAAATCACCCTGATCAACCTTCCTACTTAATCCTCTGCATTGTGTAATCCTGTTGGTGTCTAACATCACCTTCCGGTTTTCATTCCCACCCGAAAACGTCATATTTCCGCACCATGTTGACCAATCTGCAAACAATATCGAAGACTGCTTGGATATGCAAGAAACACATTTTGTTGGATTCTGGTTACCTTGGCCTCACACATTTTTATGGTTCTTGATACGCAGTAATGTTGTGATCATGCAGTAATGTTGTGATCACATGTAGAAATGGAGCCAGGCGTGGTTGCTTCGTGTTTGCGCTTGGATGTTTGCTATCGTGGTTATCTAAGTTCTGAGGTAGGAGTTTAAATGACCTGTTTTACGATTAATTACAATATGTTCTGCCTTAAAAATGACGATTGATGTACAATGCTCTTTCTTAACACGAGGTAGCAGTGTATAACCTGACCTAAGATAGTCCTGTTTTATGGTTATTTATGATGCTTGATGCCTAAAACATCAGTTGCTTGGACAAGTTAATCTCATCATTAGGTATTAATGTAGACAATAACAATAAAAAAGAATAGGAAAAGCTTTCTGTGAGTGATGGTAAGTATAGTGATTTATTCCATAAATGTGATGGTAATTGGTGAATGCATAATTTTAAGATATTGGGATTTTCTACTAACCTATTAGGACATACAAATGGCTTCTTCATTTTCTGCTCTTTTTTGCTCATAGTACTGCTCTTTAACTTCTAATAGTTCAGCAGGCAGCTGTTTGCAGGAGATAGGACCAAACACAGTGATTGTGTTATTGCTACATGCTTTATTAGGAACTTGCATAGTGGCTGACACCTCTCCCTGGCCATTTTGAGTAATATATTCTGGGGAGCTCATATTGTTCTGGAAAAGGGCGGTCACTGTTTCTTATTATATCTCGTGGTTACTCTCATGTCATGATTTCATTGACTGGAAAAGATGAGATACAGCCTCTATGCTCAGAAAGATGGCTAATGTATATTCAATGGAATGTTCCACATTCAAAGATATTGAAACAAGCACCAAACGTGATGAAATGAGCTCACTTTTTTATGCTTTACTATTTGTATGCTTTAAGTGAAACAGACCCATAGAAAACACAATTTCTCTGTTTAGTCAACAGGCTTCTTAATGCATCATGGTTTCACTGCATCACCATATCTTGCAAAAAAAGCTGATTGAAACCCAATTGATGGCCGTAATATCTGGAAATCCACGAACGCCAGATATGGATATCTCAACCATTATGCTTTGTTCAGCCTTGATTGCTGCATGATGAATGGAATGATGGGTAATGAATGATGCTACTATGATGTCATGGATGCCTGAATGATCTTGAAATATTCTCAGAAATAGTCTACACGTCTGTGTGGGCATGTAGCTCAGAAACTACTGGTATTAAGAAAGGCAGGGCAGTGAACTGCATTTAAAAATCTTCAAAATATCTATTTCAGTTCAAAACCCCATGCAGCTGTAGAACGCTGCTTCTGTACGCTGCCTGCCAACTTCAGAACACGTGCCCGGTTGACTGGTTAGATAATCTTTGCCCATGTGGGGGGTCAATTTGACCCCCCTCCTGAGATCTCAGGAACTAAGAAAGCCAGAGACACCAAATGCACAAGGTGTATTGACCTGTACATGAACTCACTTGGTCAAAGTTAAAGGCTCCTAGGTCATTACCTTCGGGTCAAATAACGTCAAACAAGGTCAAATTTCAGGTTGGTCTCCAAAGGGTCCATATAACCTAGATCACGATTCTAGGCAAAAGGTCATGCTCATTAAAGTCAGTGACCTCATTTGACCCTTTGAAGGTCGTGGTGACCAAAATCACACAAGGACACTTTGAGTTTTGTATTTGGATAAGCAGCAATGATTATGCTATGTATGTTTCTAAAAACAAAATGCTGACCCAGATTATTCTAGGTCAGCAACCTATTCTGGCCTTTAAGAGGGCGTATAATGTAATCCCTGCCATCAGCAAGTTCGAACTTAGTGCCAGGAACTATCCCATACAGCAAGCATGATATTAATAAAACAGGGTGGTTTTAACCTTGGTCTGAGCTTCATACCTGAGCATATTTCGATTTAATTTGCTTATTCAACTGTTTTGTTACCAAAGAAAGTATTTCGGAGATGTATGGCTTCGAGTAGCACTCCGTTGCTGGATCAAATTGAATGATTCCCTAGAAACTGCCTTCGCTTAAACAATGGCCTGACTTTGACCCGCCATAGGTCAGCGACCTTACAGGCTGCATCTAAATTTTCGATGCCAGACGATTTGCTATTCCATTGCCTGCAGCTATGCAAAATTTGGTGCGGCTTCGCCGCGTTGTTCGGAGACCATTCCGGAAAATCCTTCGGGGGGCCAATTTGACCCCGCCCGAGCGCGTGCTAAATAAGTTAAGTCTTCACAGAAAAAATCGTAATCCAGTGGGCATTATTTGTTCGGTTTTCAGGGTACTAATGTGAACCACCAAAATCGGTATGGAGGGTCTAACATGGAGGATCGAATGGGCCTAACAAATATGAGCAGTGTGATTTTAGGCAAGGGTATTCATGTCTGACAATCCTAGACTTCTGACACTGGGCATATGAACATTTTGATATAAACCAACTTGTTAGAACATGCTCTGATTTGTCATTTTTCATAATATTCCTTACAAGACTTAATTAAACTTTAAGTGTGATGATACTTTGGTAGTTTGTTAAAATGGACAGAATGGTGGCTTGCAGTGTGGCAGTAAGTGCCACAGTATTAAATGGGTCCAAATTTTCATAGCAAAATGTGTATGCTGTGACCATTGGGTTTAGGTCGTGTGCCTTTTCCGTGAATGACCATTGTAAATAACGTTGGAAATGACAAGTAGATTTGCTGCAGAATATTTAGAAAACACTTGTTGGGTAGTAAAAACTAAACTTGTTCAGGGTTTCAGCTTTTATGAGATCATGTGTGTAGATGGAGGGCATATGAGAGAGTTGTGCATCACGGCTCAAGAACATGTGATTGAATAGTAAAATTCCTTGGTGTCAAGACCAGAATGTTGGTTTCGGAACCTGGTGTGGAAGGCAACACATTAACAACTCCAGAATGCAGGCAAAGGGTACAGATCCGCCCTGCATGTAAAATGATATAGCCATGCTTTGAAGGTTGATTTCCATTTATAAGCCATATGCTAGTGTTCGCACAAAGTAAAATATCCTCACATGTACCACAGGCGAGTACAGGCCAATGTATCAAAACCAGACATTATGTGACTCAGCCTCATATGACGTGCTCCATTCCAGCTGAAGAAACAAGCGTCCAAAGTCTACCTTCTCACTCCAGCGGCGGCCATGGCGTCGCAGTCTCTGGAGATCGTGCTGCCAGGTGACGTGATCAAGACAGAGGGTGACCTGGACCTGGGCCCGGGCCTGCGTCGCGAGCGGCACGGCTGCGTGGTGCTGCAGCCGGGCGTGCACCGGTTCCGCGCGCCGCGAACCCACTGGGTCGACACCCACTGCCGCCGCTACGTGCCGGTGCGCGGCCAGTGCGTGGTGGGTACGGTGTTAGCGCGCGCCGGCGACATCTTCCGTGTGGACATTGGAGCGCACGAACCGGCCACGCTCTCCTACCTGTCGTTCGAGGGCGCCACCAAGAAGAACCGCCCCGACGTGAAGGTCAGGACTGCGGAAGATTCGTTGTGGGGTGTGCATTGCGTAGGGGGGCCGGGGGACGGAAATGTACATGCTAATGCGCTTATTCCAACCAACTTAGAAATAGCTGGTCTTTTGGAGGGATAGCACCACTGACCAATGATACTATGATCTTTGGGAATCCGGTGCACCGATGTCGCCATTTATTAGCAACCACCAGCGAGATAAAATGGCCCAAGTTCTGAAATAGTATTCATATTTAATAATTCTGCACCTATTTGAACTTCCACTTTGAACGGGTCTCCGGAACAAATGTGAAACTGCTGCGGTGTTGTTTTCTGGCCTTTAATCTGGCGGACACCGGCGGCAGGTGGGTGACCTGGTGTTCGCGCGTCTGCTGGTCGCCAACAAGGACATGGAGCCGGAGCTGGTGTGCGTCAACTCGAAGGGTCGCGCCGAGGGCCTGGGCGTGCTGTCGGCGGAGGGGCTGGACTTCACCGTGCCGCTGCACGTGTGCCGCAAGGTGCTGGCGCCCGCCTGTGGCCTGCTGCGCCGGCTCGGCTCCGAGCTGCGCTTCGAGATGGCCGTCGGCATGAATGGCCGCGTCTGGGCCACCAGCAACAGCCTGCGCTACACGGCCGCCGTCGCCAGCGCCATTTGCGCCTCTGAGCACATGGACGAGGCGCAGATCGCCGCCATGTGCCGCGAGGTGGCAGCAGTGGCGCACCAGCGGCGATGAGCACGCGCGTGTGGGCGGGGGAGGGAGGGCTATGGCGTTGCGTTGTGATGTGCGTGGAATGCTCGGAGGATCGTGGCGAGTGCACAGATCGTGCAAATGGCGTACGTGACCTGGCACCCGTCGGTGATCTGGGAGATCTGGCGCGGCGGGGTCTGGTCCACGGCGTTTTTACATGCGCGTCGCTTCATGCTGCGGTTCGTCCCGTTCTGGACCCGAGCCCACCCAACCGCAGTCGGCGGGCGGAAGACCGGCAGAGGGCGGAGTGGTCACCACTGCGGACAATTCCTGAGCATCTAGCTAGTTTTGATGAGAACCTGGGGTTCTCTGCGCTCTGCGGCGTCTCACAAGCCACTGGTCAGGTGCGTGTGTGTGATCATCGCTGACACCGTGTCCAGCATATTTCACGTGTGAGATCAGGTTACGTCCTCTTGTCTGGTGCCAAATCTTGCTCAGTTACATGTGAAGTGTGCTTCTCCCATTCTCCATTGCAGTATGTTGCATGAAGGACGAGGGTTAGCGGCATGTATGCCCCGGGTATCGCAGAGATGAAAGGGCAAGTCACTGGAGTCACGGTCACGTTCATTTCATTCGCGCTCTGTTGGCAAAGAATAAAAAGCCGTCAAAGCGTTAAGTTTTTGGTTGCTTGCTGAAGTTCTCACAGCCAAAGGTAAGCGTACAAAAAACGTACCAGCGTTCAGCACTGCTGGCGTTATGAAGCAACGTGCTCGTAATAACGCACAAACGGCGTTAGAAACTGCATCACGGCGGCCGTTGCGTTGTCTGCACGGTTTCCTCACACACGGCGCGGAGCTGGGACCGGCTTTGGTCTCGACGTGAGCTGGCGTGCCCCTGCAACGCCCATATCGGCTACGGCGCGCCCAATACACGGGGCTGGACCACACAACCATGAGCAGGACTGTGTAGGGAGGCCCGGTCCAAGACCAAATCGGGAAGAGCGGCGGAGGGTTCTCCATCATTGACGCCGGTGGTCGGATGCCCTCGGGACTCGCGTAACCAGGGCATCATTCGCGGGCGACAGACGCACCGCCGCTCCAGAGTCTGCGGTCACTGGCGCCGTCAGCCGTTGAAGAACTGATGTACGCTGGCGGCCAGCGGCTCGCCGAGCAGCGGCGCCAGCTGTGCGACGCTGGCGCCGGCCAGCGCGGCCAGCGAGCCGAACCGCGCCAGCAGCTGGTCGGCCTTGCGCGCACCCAGGCCAGGCACGGCCTGGACGGCGGCGCGCAGCTGCTGTTCGACCGGCGGCTCGTCCAGCGGCTGCGGCACATCCCGGTCAGCTGCCGCCAGCTCGGCCAGCAGCTGCGGCAGCTCGGACACGGCCGACACGGGCAGCACGGTCAACTGCAGCTCGAGTGCAGCCAGCAGTTGGATCTCGTAGAACTCACGGCTGGTCACCGCCGTCCGCTCCATGATCACCACCTGGCGGCGAGCGGCGGCGTCAGGCGGCGGTGGCGACGCCACGGCCCAGCGCGGAAGCCGCCGCTCCTGCTTACATAATGCGGAGAAGGGATCTGCGTCGTCCCGGAGTCGACCGCGGAGAGGAGAGTTTGCAGCAGACAGAATTTCCACTCCAGAACGGCGCAATGTCGTGCGCACCAATGTGCACTCACGCAGCCTGGTAGGACGCCGTGCATTCTGCTCAGGCGTACATACAGGCTTACAAAAATATTCCAGGCCTACTAGAAGGCGTTTGGGGCCTTCAAATGTCATCCATTCTTTATCCGGAGCCATACTTAGTGCAGCAGCCCAGTCAATCGAGCAGTCGCCATACGAGCTCAGCCAAAATTACAAAGCAGATCACGCGTAGTCTTGCAGGGATCAGAGGCAGGTTATTCGATGATGCTGCTACCCAATCTGATATGAATCATACGGCGTTGCATGAAAAGACGGAAGTCGGAACTGCGTTCACACAAACTGCACAGAGGATTCTCCACTGCTGCCATGGATTGCACTATCATGTCCCACAAATCTGGCTGTCTACCTGCTAGCACAACCTTTCTGTTAACCATTATGCTGGTTGATCGCAAGCTTTTCAGGAGACTGCTGGCAACCGTCCGGCCGACCGGCGTCCTCCCCCAACGCCAGCGGAGGTGTACCTGGCGCGGCAGCGGTGATCGGCTGAGCGTGTGCAGTCGACGGCGACACAGCCCGCTGTTCATCAGGTCACGCTCGGTCAGCAGCACCACGGCCGTGTCGGGCGCCGGCAAGAAGTCGGCCACACCCATCCGGTCCGAGAAGGTGACGCGCAGCTGCGAGCCGCGCAGCAGCGCCGCCAGCTCGCTCCGCTGCCAGCGCAGCGACACCAGCAGCTGGCCGGGCGGCACCGGCTGCCGCTGCGGCGTACCCGAGCCCTGCGTCAGCGCTGACATCGTGGCTGCAAAGGAAATGGTGTGTTAGGGCGGACGCAACCTTTGATTGCAAAGGTTGGTATTTGTTTTGTGCTGTTTATCTCATTTTCCCATATTTGTGCTTTGTCCCCCTTAATATTTAATTCCCATTGTCTATGAGTTGCAGACCACATGTCTGCTTACCATGCATAAACAACCAACTTGCTTTTCATGAACAAAGCAGCACTCCAGCAGACTGAGCTATTGGTCATTTGATTCTTGTCTGCTCTGTAACCTCATTCATGGGCTGTCAGCAGTAGGATGCTGCGGAGTTCCTTAGGTACCTGCTGACGGGTCTGCACTAGAACGCGAACCGTAGCACCAGTCTACCCAACACCATCGCCTTAGACATCCAGGAATGTTTCAATGCAAGCCAGAAGCCGATACAGCTTGGAAACGTCTTCTGTGCCGGAAGAACTTAAGTTGTGATTTGCTTGTTAGACAGCTCAGGTCCATGCTGCTGTGCAGTGTGTGAACACGCATGTGTGTCTGTAGCGTCAAACCCATCCTGGATCAGAGTCTGCTGACCCCGTCCGTCTACCGTGGTCACGTGCAACCACGGGCCTGCTTCAACCTCTTCACCAGCGAGAAATCGCCCCACAGAGACAAAAGACTTGCATGTGTTACAAATGTCAAAATCTTGAGATGCACAATGGTTTTAACAGGCTGGGGCTCCCTTCCCACCAAGTTGACAATATTCAGCTCCTTAAGAAGCATGGATGTCTACATTATGTTGCTGCAATGCTCACTTGAAGTTTTATTTACCTATTATGCTTATTGGCCTCACTAATCCCTTGCTCAGGATCAGCCAATCAGCATCAAGTCATATGGTGGTCAACCCAGCACCTGGGTGCCTCTGGGTTGGCAAATCACTCAAGCAATTTAGAATGTCAGGACTCAGGATGAAAGGCAAAAGCTTCATACCCCAGAAAATGTGTGTGAAGATCATTGCTGGAAGCACAAATTTAATATATTATCTGTACATCTGCAATGCCAAACCAGAAAAATTTTGGTGTGCCACTCCTGCTCTGCCAGGCAGGCACACTGCATGCCATGAAAAAATGATGTGGTGGCCAACCACTCAGGCATCACGTTTTTGAGCCAACCATCATTCTGGCAACATGATTCTGGGCCACTTCATCATTCTAGCATGCTGTTTTTGGGCCACTTCATGGCCTTCTGAGAACATCCATACTTGGGAAACTAGCACAAGTCTGCTAACTCCACAAGGCTAACAATGCATGCACACATCAGGGCTAAATAAAACAGAGTATAAATATGATAACTGTTCCTGAACTGTCCATATTTGGGTCAAAGACCTGCTCTCATGCTCCCAGACCCACATATCTAAAAAGGCTAGCCCAGTCCAAAATTCACTGCACTGATTTGGGGCCATTTTATTCTTGGATTGTTCCAGTTACCATAATAGGCAATAAAGGCACATTCAGGTTAAATGCCTCCAACATACTGTGCTCAGAAGCTGTCGAGTTCAAGCACAAATTGCTTTTAGAAGCTTCCTATCTTTTTATAAAAACTGTGCTGAGGACAATTAAAAACGCAATCATGAAAATGCCGGCAACCATGAAGAAATGCATGTATGACGTGATCAGGTTCCTCATGGTGGCTGTCATGAAGTTATCACATACTGACCACTGTTGTCATAAGGGAACAGTAAAACACCAAAATGTCAATTTGTATCCTTTTGTGAGGGCTTTGGCCTGCCAATGTTGGATTCTCCATGTTTGCCCGAGAACTCCAAAAATTTTGCTTGGAATATTAAAAATGCAAGGAAAAGTAGACGACTGCACACAACCTGGGGAAGTCCACAAACATGAGCCTATCTTCTTGGGGCATCATTTTTGACCTTTGCTGGTATGCTGTTCAATTTGAGGAATCACTGGTAAATAATACACGAAATCACAAATACCAATGCTGTCAAAAGTAGTATCAGCCCGTCGAAAAACACCAGTTTGGCGTAGGTTAGGTCATTGAGTCCTCAGCTCAGCCACTGCAGGAAGTACTACCGACCTTTCTGCATGGAAAGCTGTAAGCAAGATAGCAGCAGTCAGGCTTTCAGAGAAATGCACTCACCCGCCACCCAAACGTGGACCAAGCAGCCACCACAAAGCCTTCGAGCAGCGCGGGCCGTAAGCTAAGCCAAAGAAAACTCAGAGAGCTAGGGTGGACTAATCTGGCAGCGAGATGATGACGTCACCAAGAGTCTGTTTGGTACGCGTATGGTGCCCGGTTAGGGTCCTCCACCATAGGACCCCCGGCCCACTCGCAACGGCCCGGGTCAAACGAAGCATTGTGAGGATCTAGAATAGCTTCAAAAAGAGAGTAAGTGTATGGGACCGCTGCTTGGAGATTTTAAGCGTTGAAACTTGGAGCCCACGATTTACGAGTTTCCTCATAAGTTAACAATTCGTTTACAATGAGGTTGAAATCCATGAAAGTTGTGGTGCCGCCACGTTGTAAGTACGTCACGGGTGTATGCTGCCAATCGCCTCGACCCAGTGTGTTAAACATCGGGTATATGAAAGCCCAGTGCAACATTTTTAGTATGCTATCAGAGATCTACGCAGATTTGAGCTACAGCTTTAGTTCTCACCAAATTATTGGCAGCCTATAATTGGAGACAGTGAGGCGCAGACTATACGTTCGTAAAGACATTTCATTTTTTTTTGTCCAAAATATTCGCGACAAATTGTCAAGGACATAGATGCTGCATTGCACTGATGGCTTGTATCGGCTGCTAGCAAGCAGCTCATTATATTCATTATTCACAGTGGGAACTGGTAAGAAATACCTGGTCGCCTCGGGCTCGAACACACGTCAGTTATGAACTCCGCCCGCTACCAACTACGCCACTGAGTCTACGCCACGCGCCTCGGAAGTCGAAAAACTCGTGGCATGCATTGCATGAAAAATTTCACACCACGCGTTGTGGGAGCTTAACCTCTCTTGATAAGAGAGACTAACAGACCGGCGCAAGGCAATAACATAATATTTCTTTTGGTGCCAGGTTCGTCGAAGGCGGCGGGGCAGAACGGCATCCGCAGATTTCCGAAAAGCATGCCTTTGACACGTGAGCCCTATGAGCTAGTAGAAGTACAGTGTGGAACAGACGTGATAACAGGGCACTTAGGTGGGGAGCCGATGTCGATTCACATGCAGCACGACAGACGCTCTCCACATTGGAGCTGTGCTGTGCCCTGCAGC